GCGACCTGATTCTCTGTAGTATGAAGAGCAACTGAAGACCAATGGTGAAAGCAGGCACTCTCCATACCCAAGCTGGAGGTTAGGAACCCTTGGCTCAGCCGGCTCGGTTGGAGCTTCCAGCTTAGCCTTCAAGAGAGCCCCTCCTTCCAAGGCGCCCCTCTTTGGGGGTGCCTCCTGTGGATGCGTCCCGCTAAGGATGTTGACAAGCTGGGAGGCGTCCAGAGGAGGGCGACGAAGAGGGTGAGGGGGTCTGGAGACCGAGTCCTCTGAGGAAAGGCAGAAGGATCTGGCTACTTTGAGCCTGGAGAGGAGACGACTCAGAGGTGATCTGAGAACCACCTTCAAGTCCTTGAAGGGCTGTCCTAGAGAGGATGACGCGGAGTTGTTTTCTGTTGCCCCAGAAGGTCGGACCAGAACCGATGGGCTGAAATGGAATCAGAAGATGTTTTGGCAAAACCTTAGGAAGAACTTCCTGACAGTCAGAGCGGCTCCTCAGTGGCACAGGCTTCCTCGGGAGGTTTCTAAGCAGAGGCTAGATGTCCACCTGACAGCAATGTCAGGAAGGGTTGCCTCAGTGCTTAGTTCTCGTGGCCCTTTCTTACACGCCCAGGGATATCCTGATCACCACTTTGGGGCCAGGAAGCAATTTTTCTCCAGGCCAGTTTAGCCAGGGATCCTGGATGTTTTTTCCCTCATCTTTTGGGCGTGGAGCAGGGGTCACTGTCAGTGCTCCCTCTAAGCTGAGTTGGTGTGAGCTAGCTCACCGTTTTTTAGCCTCCAGCTCACAGATTTTTGCCTTAGCTCAGGAAGGAGGGCCTCAAAGCAAACTCATTTGTGCAGCAACCAAATGGCTCACTCACAACTTTAATGCCAGGAGCCCACAAAGTAGAATTTGTGCTCACAAGACCCCACAGCTTAGAGGGAACATTGGTCACTGTGTGTGTGTGTGTGGAGGTATTTGTGACTTTCCTGCCTTGTGCAAGGGGTTGGACTAGATGACCCTGGAGGCCCCTCCCAACTCTATGATTCTAATGGTGGTTGTTTCCTCTGGCATCAATCCTTGTAAGGAAAGCACCGTCATCAGCAAAATGGGTTTGCTTTTGAGACACTGTCTCCTAAACAAGCCATTGGCAAAGGGCTCATTAACTCCTTCCCTCCTTAGCATGCATGGAAACATGACGCAGGGCACACTCTCACCCAACCTTTATGCATCTCAGTTTCCGAGTCCCGGATAGAGGCAAGGTAGTCATGGAGGTGAATAGGCAACCAGGGTACATAATCAAGCCGGTGTTCTGCCAGAGCCACTCTTAGGATGAGTAAAAGGGTACTAAAGAGTCCTTTGCCCAGGCATTAACTTACAAGGGGGCATATCGGTGGGGAGAACCAATTTTGCTAGCCCCAGTTCAAAGTGGAAGGCCATTCCAGTCTTGGAGACCTGTCCTGAGGGCCTTGGCGGGTGCTGCTCCTGCCCACTACAGAGGCAGTGGTGTTTGATCTGACTCCCGAAGCTGGAAAGGGGGCAGCTCCCCCAACGCATCCCCTGAAGAGGCCTTTGCTGTGCAGCCAAACCGAAGATGTAGCAGCTGGGCTTGTGTGCAACATAGTGCCATATCCATGTTGACATGGGTGTCCTATCGCCTCCTCGTTCGTGTGTTCCGTTTCTAGGGTTACCGAGTATGGCCAATGGAGGCCAGACCTGATGCTGCTCCTACCGTCTCCACTTCTGTGCCTCAACCACTGTTCCCCTTTTCTCCCGGTGTGCGATGGAGGTGCTGCAACAGCTCTTTGTGAATTAATTCCATGGTCCTAGAAAACCTGGCATGCACAAATCTGTTTAATCTGGAGAGGCAGTGCTGTGTAGTGGTTAGAGTGTCGGACTAGGATCTGGGAGACCGAGGTTCGAATCCCCACTGTGCCATGGAAGTTCACTGGGTGACCTCGAGCCAGTCACACATCCTCAGCCTAGTTGACCTCACAGGATCATAGTGAGGATAAAGCACTTCGAGTCCCCGTGGGGGGGGGGAGAAGAAGAAGAAGAGGAGGAGGAGGAGGAGGAGGAGATTGGATTTATACCCCACCCTTCACTTGGAGTCTCGGAGCGGCTTACAAACTCCTTTCCCTCCCCCTCCCCACAACAGACACCCTGTGAGGTAGATGGGGCTGAGAGAGCTTTTTCCAGAACTGCTCTTGAGAGAACAGCTCTGACAGAACTATGGCTTGCTCAAGGTCATCCAGCAGCTGCATGTGGAAGAGTGGGGAATCAAACCCGGTTCTCCCAGATTAGAGTCCGCGCACCTAACCACCACACCAAACTGGCGAGAAAGGCAGGGTATAAATCAGGGCTTTTTTCTGGGGGGAATGTGCCGGAATGGAGTTCCGGAACCTCTTCAACGAAATCCTTTTTAAAGTGTTTAAAAGTCCATGAGTCTCCAGTATACAGACTGAAAACTTCATTTCCCTCTTGAGAGTTCCGGCACCTCTTTCTCAAAGAAAAGAAAAGCCCTGGTATAAAGGAAGTAAGTAAATAGAGTGTGTGTGTGTGTGTGTCAGAACTATAGCAAAGTCTGTAGATCTTGTAATGCACAGTTGCTTTCGTATGTCTCAAAGGACTGTAAAATTAAAAGATGAATGCAAAGCTACAAGTAACTGGGGGTATTGCTTGATCCAAACTGTGAGCCTGCTAGTTACTACGGCAGAAGTTCAGCCACTTCTTTTATCCTCCCTTCCCCTTTAATAGCACATCGGGTGTCTCTGTGTACTCCAGGCAGTGTTGTTTGGACCACACATTCCCGCTGTCTTCTTGCGTTATGGACAGCGACCAAGCTTTTAGGAACAGACCTGTGCAAGAGTAGACACATCTGCTTGTGTGGGCATGTGGGAATATCCTGCGTCCGTTTCCCCCTTCATTTGCACTCTTACACATACCCTCCTTCCCACCCTCCTACTTGTGTCACACATTTGCTGTTCAGACATGCTATTCACATTCCGATTGTAGACACACAGAATGTTCACACTCTGGCCGTTGTGTCTGTTCCCTTCTGCACATACTACTTTACACAGAGCGTGATTAAAATGTGGAATTCGTTGTCAGAGGATGTAGAGATGGCCATAGGCATAGACAGCTTTAAAAGGGGATTAGATAGATTCATGGAGGATAGGTCTATCAATGGCTACTAGCCATGGTGACTGAGGGGAACCTCCACATTCAGAGGCACCGATCCTCTGAATCCCAGAGCCAGGAGGCAACATCAGGGGAATGCCTTGGCCTCTATTCCGTTGTTGGTCATCCAGGATGCTGGACTAGATGGACCACTGGTCTGATCCAGCAGGGCTCTTCTTGTGTTCTAATGAAGGCCTCGGCCTCTATGCCCTGTTGTTGGCCCTCCAGAGGCACTGGTTAGCCACTTTGTGAGACAGGGTGCTGAACTAGATAGACCATTGGTCTGAGCCAGCAGGGCTCTTGTTATGCTCTTATGTTCTTATGACCCTGTTCCCCCAACAATGTAGTCCCATCTCTCCATAGGGCTTGTGTACTGATTCTACAAAAGAACAAAGTCCAAGAAGTTGGACTACTCATGAAGATTCTATAGCACCTCAGCTGATGAGCCAATGGCTACAGAGGTCTTATTCTCGTCAATTTCAGCCAGCGTTCACATAATCAATAGCAGGGGAGATTTCAAAACCTGCATTCTGTCTTCAGGAGTGTGTGTGCAGGGGGGGGGGTTTGCTTTCCCTTTATTTGATTTTTGCAGTGCATTGGCATTTGGGTGAAAATTATTTAAAATTGTCCTGCCAATTACAGTTGCACTTTAATTTGCTATCTGGAACCGTAGTAAGTACCCTAAAAGAGTACCCCAACATAGAGATGTGAAGGGCCGGAAAAAAAGTAGAAAAATTCGGGAAAAAAACGTTTTTTTTCCTGAAGCCTTTTTGTTTTTTTCAGAAAAATTAGGAAAATTGAAAAAAGAAAAAAATTTGATTATGGAACGTTTTATTTTAACATGATGAATAAAATATTTTAAGACAAGGTGTTCAAATATTTTCCAAATCATTTCTAAAATATATATATATATGGTATCAGATTGATCTAATTTATGTGCACTGAGGACAAGCATGTCCTAAGTTACAAACTGAACCCTCCAATGCAAGAACAAGATGCATTTCTTCCTTTAGGAGGTGCGATTGTCAGAAGAAAATAAAAAAGTTTCAGTTTTGTTTTTGCATGTGGGTGGGTATTCTGTCTGTAATAATTGTTTCGATACACTATATTTTTAATATGCTAGTTGTGATAATTTCATGCCAAGTAAAAATGTCCATAGTCATATTTTATGTTCCTAAAGTAACAGAATGACTTTCAATCTAGAAAAGACAAAAGAAATGCTAATGTAGCATTTTTTCAATTTTTCCGAAAATTTCCGTTTCCCCCCGAAAAAAAACGGTTTTTTTTCCCGAGCTTCAAAATTTCCGGAAATTTTACATCTCTACCCCAACAACTCACATTCTAAGAAAATAAATAAGTTTCTCCAGTGTGTTGGGAGGGTCTGACTTGTGTAGATGTTGGGATGGGAACCATCCAGGAGGTTTCAGTGATGCTAAAACAACCATGTCGTGAAAAGAAGAGCGACGTGGAGATGATCTGAAACTTCTTGGGCTGTCCTGTGGCTTCTTCTTTCTCGAATATTTCCACGTGAAGCCTTGACAGGAGTCTGAGAGGGACCCTTTTGAGGATTGGGCAGACATCTCTAGGTGGGAGGGAGGGGGACCAGATGGCAGGCTGAATCACTTCCAGCCCTACAGATCCACAGATTAGGGATCCTAACAACAAGGGCTTAAACTGGGTTTGATCAACTCCCAAAGTTTTGAGAACTGGTCGGCGTCTGTCGAAATTTCAGTCAGCAGCGGGAACCGGAGAAATTGGTCCCTCCCCCCCCTCCAGTTCCCGTCCCGGAACACGCAGTGTTTGTGTTGGTCTGCTCAGACAATGCCTCCCTTTATTCCAGGTATCTAAACCACGTCCGAGCCGCCTCCCGACAGGATCTGGCCGGTGGCTACACTTCCTCTCTCGCCTGTCATCGAGCCCTTCAAGATGCCTTCAGCGGGCTCTTTTGGCATCCCGGCTAGCCTGGGAGACAGCAGGCCCCCAAAGCGGTGTGAGCCGAGAGAAGAAACCTCGGGCGAAAATTGCTGCCGTCTGGGCTCCAGCGAAGCTGCCGTCGTCTTTCTTTCTTTTATTGGGAAGCCAGCTGTGCCAAAGTATTAAGACTACGTGCAAAGAAACTCCCTCTTTAACAACACGGATGGTTGGGGTTTTTTTAGGGCGGTGGTGGGGGGAAAAGGGGGGGAGGACTGCTAGAGTCAAGTTTGCTGAAAAGAGGCTAACAGAAGATGAGAACGATTCGGTTTTGCGTGTTTGAGGTTTCGGGGACGAGACGTGTAAAAGTTTTAAAATAAAGGCCTTTAAAAGCTCATTATTAAATCCTGTGGTTTCTTGCCCCAGCTTCAGAGTTCTGCTGGCACAGGCGCCGAAATGCTGGTTTTAAAACTGAACTCTTATATCCTGTTACACTGCAGCCAACGGGGGCTTTTCTCTCCAGACCTCCTTTTCCTAATGCCAACGAGTGGGATTGACTTCTTGAGATAGGAGGCATGCCGCCTTCTGCATTTATCTTGCCCAGTGTCCCGAAAGAAGACAATCAGGATCCTGCTGGAAAGCAACTCTGTTGATGTGCAGTAAACAGCTAAAGGCCAGGATCCCAACCAGTTGCATGCATGGGTGTGTGAGGGGCAAATCGGGTAGATCGAAGGGGGAGTGCCTAAACCAGGGGTCCCCAATGTGGTGCCCGCCAAGAGCTTTCAGGAAGTGGGTGGAGCCAGAGGAGGCTTTTGGCCTGCAAGGCTTTTGATTGGCTGCTGGAAATTCGATGGGCTGTGCAGATTTTTTTATGTTGCTTTGGCGGCGGCGGCCACCGCAGAACAAGGGTCTTCACTGTGTGACGGAAGGGAAGCCACACAGCGGCCTTTTCGTGGCTGGCTTTGCCTCCCGCGGCCGCCATTTTGTGGCTGCGCCCACCAAGCTGTGTCCGAATCCCAAAAGTGCCCGCAGGGTCAAAAAAGTTGGGGACCCCTGGACTAAACGCTCATGGCTTCTCCCCTTTGAATGCCCCGAAGACGTCCTCCTCCCTAGCTAAACTTTGATAAAATAATACTATAATAATTTATAACAATAATTTCAGAGGGGAAGCGATGTTACTCTGTTGCTGCAAAAGTAATTCATTCAGAGGTTTCACGCTGCCCCTTTCCCCCACTCCCCCCCACCCCAGTCCCAAACAAAGACTTGGGATTCGTCACTCATTACAGGTATTAAGTATCGTAGGATAACTTGGACTCCGCGCCCCACAACAGGTGTTAATTCGTTTAGCAAAACTAGTGAAGGGCTTCTGTACACTTTGTGATGAAATCTGCATTTTACAAGATCCGGACTCTAATCCACCAGTTTATGGCGGATTAAAACTTTCAGTCCTTGAGCCAGTGTGGTGTAGTGGGAACCAGTGTAGTATAATGGTTACAGCAGGGTTTCCCAACGTGGTGTCCATGGACAGCATAGCACCCACTAGTACTTCACTTGCTGCCTGCTGACCTTTCCAGGGGGTTTGTGGGGCCATGGTAGATCAGGGCTTGTTATTGGCTTCCCTCATTCACAGAAAAGTGTTTTCCGCTGGAGGGGCTGAAAGACTGGTAAGCAGCTGGGCTTTCCTTAGTGTCTGGTTCCATTCCCCCTTCAGGATTTCCTTCTTCCCAGGAGGTATGAGGGAGGTATTTTGTTTGCCTTCAACTCTGGAGACAGCCATTTTGGGTTTGGCTCCTCCTCCATGCCCTGTTGCTGGCCCTCTAGAGGAACTGGATGGTCACTGTGTGAGACGGGATGCTGGACTAAATGGACTACTGGTCTGATCCAGCAGGGATCTTCTGGTGTTCTTATGAAGGCCTCAGCCTCTATGCCCTGTTGCTGGCTGGTTGGCCCCTGTGTGAGATGTGATGGACTAGATGGACCACTGGTCTGATCCAGCAGGGCTCATCTTAATGTTCTTCTCAGGGGAAGGCCTCGGCCTGTCTGCCCTGTTGCTGGCCCTCCAGAGGAACTGGTTGGCCCCTGTGTGAGGCAGGATGCTGGACTAGGTGGGCCACTGCTCTGATCCAGCAGGGCTCTTCTGATGTTCTAATGAAGGCCTCGGCCTCTCTGCCCTGTTGTTGGCCCTCCAGAGGAACTGGTTGGCCCCTGTGTGAGACAGGAGGCTGGACTAGGTGGGCCACTGCTCTGATCCAGCAGGGCTCTTCTTATGCTCTTAGGAAGGGCTTGGCCTCTCTGCCCTGTTGGTGGCCCTCCAGAGGAACTGGATGGTCACTGTGTGAGACGGGATGCTGGACTAGGTGGACCACTGCTCTGATCCAGCAGGCCTCTTCTTATGTTCTAATGAAGGCCTCATTCTCTATGCCCTGTTGTTGGCCTTTCAGAGGAACTGGTTGGCCTCTGCGTGAGAGAGGATGCTGGACCGGAGGGACAACTGCTCTGATCCAGCAGGGCTCTTCTGATGTTCAGCCCAAACCATCAACTAGGCAAGCTCATCCCTCCTACCCACAAGCCCCCCCCCCAACCAGGAAAAGATAATTGAAGATACAACTTAACCCCCCTCCCCCAAAAAATCATGGAGGGGTAGTTGTTGCTTGTTTGCTGGCTGGAAAGAGAGAGGATTTTTTAAAAAATTCCTTTTCTTATTCTCAACAGTTTTCCAATTGGTCTGGGAATGAGTGCACACCGCATTAAGAAAAGGCGCTACTCTGGTATGGGAAAATAAACATTTAATTTTTTTTCAAGTAAGAGAAAAGGGCCCCCCCCCCCCCAACCGTCTGTCATGGAACTGGGGGAAAAACAAAATGATGCTGCAGCATGAAGCTTTCCGAGGCGAGTGTTTCAGCTTTTCTTACAAGGAAGCCCACTTGTTCCACTTGGCTTTCTTTCAACGTTTCGAGACTCCTAAACGGGCTCCTTCTCGGTTTGTTCTGGGGGCTCTTCGCTTGGGCGCAGGCGTTTGGAGGCTGGTTCTTGGACACCTGTAAATGGAAGACAAGAGAGGGGTCAATATATATATATAATCATGATCCAGGGTGAGCAGCTTAAGCATTGTCTCTGCGGGTCTTGTGATCACAGTAGCCATTTGCAGTGTATGCGTGTGAGCCCCCTACCTGTGGACAGGCATAAGAACGCCAGAAGAACCCTGCTGGATCAAACCAGTGATCCATCTAGTCTCACAGAGTGGCTAACCAGTTCCTCTGGATGGCTAACAACAGGGCATAGTGGCTGAGGCCGTAATTAGAGTATAAGAAGAGCCCTGCTGGATCAGACCAGTGGTCCATCTAGTCCAACATCTGGTCTCACCCAGTGGCCAACCAGTTACCCTGGAGGGCCAACCACAGGGCATAGTGGGTGAGGCTGTAATTAGAGTATAAGAAGAGCCCTGCTGGATCAGACCAGTGGTCCATCTAGTCCAACATCTGGTCTCACCCAGTGGCCAACCAGTTACCCTGGAGGGCCAACCACAGGGCATAGTGGGTGAGGCTGTAATTAGAGTATAAGAAGAGCCCTGCTGGATCAGACCAGTGGTCCATCTAGTCCAACATCTGGTCTCACACAATGGCCAACCAGGTCCTCTGGAGGGCCAACAACAGGGCAGAGAGGCCGAGGCCTTCATTAGAACATCAGAAGAGCCCTGCTGGATCAGACCAGTGGTCCACCCAGTCCAGCATCCCATCTCACCCAGTGGCCAACCAGTTACCCTGGAGGACGAACAACAGGGCAGAGAGGCTGAGACCATCCTGATGGCTCTGGGATTCGGAGGCTGACTGCCTCTGAATTTGGAGGTTCCCCTTTGTCACCACGGCTTGTAGCCAATGATGGCACCTGTTCCCCTTGACACCGTGACGCACTTCTCATGGTATCCCAGAACGCAGTTGGGCATGTGTATAGCCTTTGTAACTCCATGTTTGTTACAGGCTGGTGCTGGCCCTGAGTTCTGTAAGGGGACGGCTGTCAGGTCACTCCCAAGGGAATATTCCCCCCTCTCATGCTTGCTGGCAGCTCTAATCGAGGAAGGCGGATTTGTTTTCTCTGACCGCTAGACACCAGATGCAAGATGGCCAGGCTCTTCCTCGTGTTCACGAGAGCTTGATTTTTTTTTTACTTGTAGCCAGCAATTAGGGTATAAGATGCCTAGTTTAGGAGCTGCGGTGGCTCAAGTGGTTAAGACGCTGAACTGCAGGCTGGAAGGTCTGTAGTTCGGCAGTTCGAGACCTGAGTGCCGCGTGACGGGGTGAGCTCCCGTCTCTGGCCCCAGCTCCTGCCAACCTAACAGGTCGAAAGCAAGAAATTGCAAGTAGATAAATAGGTGCCGCTTCGGTGGGAAGGTCACAGCGTTCCGTGCACCTCGGCGTCTAGTCATGCCGGCCACGTGACCACGGAGAAGTCTTCGGACAGTGCTGGCTCTTCGGCTTGGAAACGGAGATGAGCACCGCAACCCTAGACTCGGATTCGACTGGCTTTTGAGCAAGGGAAACCTTTACTATCTCTAGTTTTAGCTATGCACCTTGTCTGGCTAAGTTTCACTCTCTGTGTGTGCGTTCGAGATCCAGTGGATGAGCGCTTATCCTGCTATTTCTGTAAGCTCAGTCATTGCTTATTAAAATCTCCTTGTCAGCAAACCCAGATGTTGCAGGTTGTCTCCTTGGGACTTCTGCGTACCTGGAGCTCCTGGCCAGAGCCCCAAACAGCATGGCTTTCTGCCAGTGTGCAAGGCCAGCAGGGAACTTACAGGGAGACACTGCAAGTGGCAATTGTAAGTGGCTACCCAAAGCCGGGTGATAAGAATTGGCCCTTGAATACAAGGAAGTTAGGGTGTCAGGTAGCCCTGTCATAGGTTTGGGAATGTGGAGGGGTGCCCTCCCGTTTTCTGTCTCAGCTCTCCCTGGCTCACCAACTGTTTGCTATCTTATGCTTGACCTTGTAGATGGTCCAGCTGCAGTTTTACCCGGCTGGGAAAGTTAACGGCTTTTAGCTTTGCTCGCGCGTGTGAGATATATCCATTGGCTCATGCTTACGGGGGGGAAGTTTGATTCTAGTATAAGTCAGAGGCCCTCGTATTAGCGGCCATTCCTGACACAAGCTGTATACGTGTTTCTAGTACTGGATTTACCAATAAACAGTTATCTTCTTATGAAGCCCTGTGTTGAGTAACCTGACTAAGGACCCTGACATAAGGAAGGGAAGATTAAAATCAGAATCGGGGAACAGAATTAAAACCACACGCTCAAAACAGTCATGTGCTAGAAGCAGTGTTCCCTCTAAGCTGAGTTAGTGTGAGCTAGCTCACAGTTTTTTAACCTCCGACTCACACATTTTTATCTTAGCTCATAACGAATGGCCCCAGAGGAAGCTAATTTATGCAGGGGCCAAATCACCTGCTCACAACTTTAATGCCAGGAGCTCACAAAGTAGAATTTTTGCTCACAAGACTCCACAGCTTAGAGGGAGCATTGGCTAGAAGTATCAAGCGTTGGGAAAACAGCTTTGAGGAAAAGAGGAGTAAGGAAACGACAATGGAGGGGTTCTCCGGTCAGGATTCAAGGAACTGCATGTGTTCTGCATGCACATCGATGCTTTGAGCCCCACATCCCCAGTTCCCAGTACAGCCACTCGTGGCCCCATGAAGAAAGTTTCAGGCGGGTAGCCCTACTAGCACGAGGTGGGCAGCCATGCTAGTCGGTCTGTAGCAGTAGTAGATTTCTGAAGAAGTGAGCAGTGACTCACGGCGGCCCCGGATTTTGTTAGTCTTTAAGGTGCTACTGGACTCTTGCTCTTTTCTACTGCTACTAGAATAATAAGCCTTGAGTCCAGTTGCATCAAGTACCAACAAGAGTTCCAGGGTGTCAGCTTTCAAGAGTCAAAGCTCCCACTGTCAGATACAAGCAGGAGTCTGAAGGTGTGAGGGGGGGTTGCAAAGAAGGGATGTGGATGCAAAGGTGCAATGCAAAGTGCAATTGGCTTAATTATAGCAGGGTAGAACCAACCTAGGAGTTCGAAAGCAAGAAATTGCAAGTAGATAAATAGGTACCACTTCGGTGGGAAGGTAACAGCGTTCCATGCGCCTTGGTGTTTAGTCATGCCGGCCACATGACCACGGAAACGTCTTCGGACAGCGCTGGCTCTTCGACTTTGAAACGGAGAGGAGCACCGCAACCCTAGAGTCGGACTCGACTGGCTTTCGAGCAAGGGAACCTTTACCTTTACCTTTAGAAATGCTCACGGGCAGGAAATTAGCATCTGTAGTGAGATGATTACATTTTTGCACTGTGCCTCTTCATCCTGACTCCCTTCTTTGTAACAGAGAGCCAGTGTGGTGTTGTGGTTAAGAGCAACAGACTCTAATCTGGAGAACTGGATTCGATTCTGCACTCCTCCGCATGAAGCCAGCTGGGTGACGTTGGGCCAGTCACAGCTCAGTCCAAAATATGTCTAGCTCACAAATAAAAGAGCTAGAACTTAAGGCTGCCGGACACTCTTAGGATCTCCTGGCTATACTACACATAATGCCATAAGATATTTAAAAATTTCTTTGCAACCCCCTTCCACCTTCTGACTGGGAGATAAAAGCTCAGAGACGGCCATTCCTACTTTTATCAGACAAAAAGAGCTTTGGCTCTCGACAGCTTATATCCTGCAAATCTTGTGGGTGCTTAAGGTACTCCTGGATTCGAATCATGCCCCCCACAAAAGCAGTTCCCAGTGATTGGGGGACTTCCACAGCAACACTCAGTATGGTGTAAAGAGGCTTCTGCCAGGAGACAAATATCTGCAATATGTGGGCAAGGGTAACCCAGTAGATGTTTACCTGGTCTTCCAAAAATCTTTTGATAAATGTTCCTTAGCCAGTATCATAATGCCCCTGTATAAATTGATGGTGCGGCCTCATTTGGAATAGTGTGGACAGTTCTGGTCACCATACCTCAAAAAAGATATTATAGCATTGGAAAAGGTACAGAAAAGGGCAACTAAAATGAGTAAGGGGTTGGAACACCTTCCCTATGAAGAAAGGTTAAAGAGGATAGGGCTTTTTAGCTTGGGAGAAATGAGGACTGAGGGGTGGCATGATAGAGGCTTATATGATTATGCATGGGACAGAGCAGGTCGAGAAAGACGTCCTTTTCTCCCTTTCTCACAAGACAGGAACTCCTGGGCACTCCATGAAATTGCTGAGCAGCAGGCTTAGAACAGAGAAAAGGAAGTCCTTCCTCACCCAAAGATAATTAACACATGGGATTCACTGCTGCAGGAAGCGGTGGCAGCTACAAGCACAGACAGCTTCCAGAGGGGACTGGATAAACATATCGAGCAGAGGTCCATCTGTGGCTATTAGCCACAAAGTGTACATGGAACACTCTGTCTGGGGCAGTGATGTTCTGTCTTCTTGGTGCTTGGGAGGGGGCAACAGTGGGAGGGCTTCTGGAGTTCTGGCCCTGCTGGTGGACCTCCTGAGGGCACCCGGGTTTTGGCCACTGTGCAACACACAGTGTTGGACTGGAGGGGCTACTGGCCTGATCCAACATGGCTTCTCTTACGTTCTTATGTCTGCACACTGGCAGAGCCCCTAGAGTATCAACCAAGTGAGCAGAGCTGAGGTTTCAGGCAGTAGACCTGGACTACAGCAGCCCCAAGAATCAAGCATTCGATTCCAAAGAGCCTGGAGACACACAGAGGGCCCCTTCGCAGGTTATGACTTCCTTACAGGAAATGCATTTCCAGATGGGGCAAAGGAAGCATAAATACTATTCACCAATGGGTGGTGTCTCCACATGCATTTATAGTGTCTCCACATGCATTTGTATACCTCTGCAGGGAATGGCAACCCACTGGGGCTTCCCAGCACAGGTCTAACAAGGAAACCGAGGCACATGCGATCACGAGACACGGTATCTGTATGGTTCTCACGCTCCTTCCTCCACAGAAGCACTTCTGGTGTCAGACGTTCATGGCACTTGAAGCAGCCCTGAGAAATCTCTCAGAAATAGGGTTTCCAGACACTGCTGGGCAACCAGCAGGACGGTTGGGTGAAGGAGGCAGTGTCACAGGATGCAGCCTCATGTACTTACCAGAAACAACAAAGGGTAGCTCTAGGGGTTGGCTGGAAACTCTGTGGTAAAACCATAAATCTCCTGGCAATTCCTAGAGCTACCCTTTGTTACTTCCAGTAAAAACTTTGGTAAGTACATGAGGGTGTATTTTTTAAACAACAGGACCCAGGGACGGGGCATCCTCCTTTGGGGGCTTGGCATTCCTACCCAGAATCCACCTGGGGTCATTGTTTAGGAATCCCATGTCTCAGCTTCAAAGCACAATAAGTGCTAAAGCCTCACAGCAATTCCGCCTCCTCCTACTCCGGCAAAGTTACCTGCATGGGAAGGCTGTTCCTTGTACAACACCTCAGCTGGGATGCGGAAGCTAATGCGCATCATTTCCTTATGGGGCGCCACATTCCTCACCAGGTCTACAGAACAGCGGCCCTCTAAGGAAGTCCCCAGGCGGGCTTCTGCTCGTTCCTGCACATCTCGCGACGGCTCGTCATGCTTCGAGAAACTGTAGCAGTGCACCGTGGGAAGGTCAGTGCCGCCCGGCTCTCCGTCCAAGAGGTGCCTGAAGACGTCTAGGAATTCTACGGCCATGGCTGGCAAGTTCATGACGATATGCAAGGCGTGCTTCCGGTCCTTCGAGGCGAGCTGCTGAGTCAGGGCTTCCTTCACGGGCCCCTCCAAGAAGTCCCGGCCGTCCATGTTGAAGAGGCGGACTTTCCCGCCCACCTTATTTAACTTGCAGTTGTGCTGCAGCCAGTGGTGGGAGTCGGGGTTGAGGTCGTTTGCAAACACGACACACTTCTTCTTCGCCGCCGGGACAGCGAAAGGCCCCACTCCTGCAAAGACGTCGAAGAGGAAGTCTCCCGGCTTCAAGAGGTCGACGATGCGCGAGTGCTCCGTGCAGAGGCGGGGGTTCCAGTAGACTTTGGAAAAATCAAATTCGTATGTGATGTAGTGTTCTTTAACCTGGAACAAGCCAAGAAACAATCATTCAACTAATCTCTCTGCAGTCAAAACCTGGGAAGACTGGTATACCCCCATCCCCAAAGCTACTTATGGCTAAGAATACACCTAGACTGAATATTAGCAGGATCAAGCAGAAAGTAAACATGAGAAAACAAAGACTTTTGGGCTTTCCTGATGCTGGTTATAGAAAAGAAGAGCTTCTGTGAGTTTGCTGGATCCCGTGGCCAGCACGGGAAGTTCCAGGGCATATCCAAGGTTCCAGATTGCAGTTTTAGGACCGGCTCACACAGGACTGGAGAGATCTGCAATCGGGATCTCCCACTCTTAAAAAAAATGCAAACAAACGCAGCCACGAGGCGCTTGATCCAGATCAGAGCCAAGGTGGCCTAGCCCTCCCCACCCGCGTACTATTTTAGTGCCCTCAACCGCAGTCCCAGAGCTGTTATTGGTCCAAAAGAGGGAAAACATAAAGACGCTCAGGCCTCCCATGGTAGGGAAAACAGCCGTGTGTTTGTACGTGTATCTACGTGTGCGCAGGGAAACAGTTAGCCTCCATTTCCTTATTGGAACTGAGGCCCCCTGCAGCTGCTTTTCGCCTTTTCGGAAATGGTGGGAAATCCAGATCACAGATCTCCCACCGGTGCAATCAGCGTGGCCCTCGGAGAGCACATCTGCTCCAAAGGCTCTCGAACACAGCTCCCTTTCTCTTCATCTGCCCCTCCTTTTGACTGTGTTCCTTTGTGCTCGACCCCCCCCCCCCCGGCCGGCTAATCTTGCTTCTCCAGTCTTACGCGTCGTCTTCTTTTTTGTCTCCCATCACTGTCCAAAGTTTAGATTGCAAATTCTCTGGGGCTTGGGCCTGTCTTCTGGTGCTTACGTTATCCAGTGCTGTGCACACAGAAGAAGAGGAGGAGGAAGAAGAGGAGGAGGAGATTGGATTTATACCCCGCCCTTCACTCAGAGTCTCAGAGCGGCTTACAAACTCCTTTCCCTTCCCCTCCCCACAACAGACACCCTGTGAGGTAGGTGGGGTTGAGAGAGCTCTGAGAGAACTGTCCTTGAGAGAACAGCTCTGACAGAACTATGGCTTGCCCAAGGTCATCCAGCAGCTGCAAGTGGAGGCGTGGGGAATCAAACCCAGTTCTCCAAGATTAGAGTCCGTGCACTTAACCACTACGCCAGACTGGCCCCAAACAATTGGTTATGACCGAACTTCAAGAGGGGATTGGATAAACGTATGAAGCAGTGGTCCATGAATGGCTATTAGCCACAAGGTCTAGAGGGAACCCTCTGTCTGGGGCAGTGATGCTCTGTATTCTTGGGGCTTTGGGAGGCCACAGTGGGAGGTCTCCTGGAGTTCTGGCCCCGCTGGTGGACCTCCTGATGGCACCTGGGTTTTGGCCACTGTGTGACACGGACCAGATGGGCCACTGGCCTGATCCAACATGGCTTCTCTTATGTTCTTAATGTAATCAACAAATTAAACCATACAGACACATGAACACATAAAGCTGCCTTCTAGTGAATCAGGCCCTAGTTAGTACTTCGATGGGACACCACCAAGGAAGTCCTGGATTACTACACAGAGGTAGGCAATGGCAAACCACCTCTGTTTGTCTCTTGCCTGGACCCGGATGGTCCAGACTAGGCCGATCTCATCTGCTTTCAGCGGCTAAGCAGGGTCAGCAGCCTTGGTTAATACTTGGAGGGGAGACTGCCAAGGAAGCCCAAGGTTGACGTGGAGGCAGGCCATGGCGAACCACCTATGAATGCCCGTTGCCCTGAAAACCCACAGGATCACCATGTCGGCTGTGACTTGACAGCACTTCCCACCACCGGAGGGTACATAAAAGTAATTATATTTCTGAACAGGCAGGGGACAGGATCTGGTTTCTCAGCTAATTCTCGGAGCCATAGCCGTGCATGTGTCAGTTAACACCCTTGATTTGGGGTGGGGATTAAAGGCTCTGAATTCAACCAACCCCTAAGTTCTAGTCTTCGTCCCGGAGTCTCACGGACAGAGCTGTGATTTCATCCTGGCTAGACTGGGCCGTCTGGGAACACACATTCACAGCCTGCCAAGTCTGGAGATCTGGGAGGAAGACGGCATTTCATGTGCTTGACTTCACCTTCGCACCACGTCTGCTCTTCGCTGCATCTGCTTTCTCAGTGTCAGACTTTTAACCCTTACCTCCCAACAGGAAAACACTACCAAAAAAGCCGTATACCTTCGTTATCATACTGCCTTCCTCTCCGGCGACCACCTCCATTTTAAAGTTTCGATAGGCGCTGTCTATGATATTGGTCTTGTTTACGGCGCAGGTGAGTCCTGGATTCTTGTCAATGATAACTTGGCCTGAAAGACAGAGGACGTGAGGACACGGCATAGAATTGTGCAATGAAGTACGGCTGTAAACATTGTGCAGTGAAGTACGGCCATTCAGATGTAAACGTGTGAGGCCGCCTAACACAAAGCCAAACCACCGATCCAGTTTGGTGTTGTGGTTAAGAGCGCGGACTCTGATCTGGGAGAACCAGGTCTGACTTCCCCACTCCTCCACTTGCACCTGGCTGGATGACCTTGGGCAAGCCGTAGTTCTGTTAGAGCTGTCCTTGAAAGAGCAGTTCTGGAAAGAGCTCTCTCAGCCCCACCTACCTCACAGGGTGGGTGTCTGTTGTGGGGAGAGGAAGGGAAGAAGATTGTAAGCTGCTCTGAGACGCTGAGTGAAGGACGGGGTATAAATCCAATCTCTTCTTCTTCTTCTGATCCAGCTCAGCACTGCCTGCTCTGAGACACCGAAAAGCCACTGTGCGCCAAAGTGAACGCGCGTGTTTTTAAAGAACTGGGTCCATGCTCCCCAGTCTCAATTTTCGAGAACCGCTCGTGAGAGAACAGCTCTGAGAGAACTTGTGACTGACCCAAGGTCACACCGGCAGCTGCACATGGAGGAGTGGGGAATCAAACCCGGTTCTCCCAGATTAGAGTCCGCGCTCCTAGCCACTACACCAAACTGGCTGGTGGTAGGCAGAGGAGTGAAGGGCCCCCCCCGAATACTTTCTGCCCAGGGCCTCCCAAAACCTGGAAAGAGCCCTATCTAAAATGCCTTCTAAGGCAGGGATCCCTGACGTCGTGCCTGCAGGCACCGTGGGGCCTGCCAAGTGCTTTCAGAAAGTGGGTGGGGCCGGGTGGGACATTTGCCCAGCAGAGATTCTGGTTGGCTGTGGAGACTTTTAAAAAGTTGCCTCGACAACAGCTGCCACCACAGCACAGGGATTTTCGCTGTGTGACTGTGCGTGTTCATTTTAAAAGTTCTTCTACTAAACGGGATTCTGTCTGAAATGCTGAAGAGCTACTACTAGAAATAGGCATCACCTCACTCCCTGACGCTTTGTGGCTGGCTCCGCCTCCTGCAGCAGCCATTTTGGAGTGGTGCCCACTACACGGTGTCAGAATTCCTAAGGTGCCCTCAAGCTGAGAGATGATATGATCACCATCTTCAAGGACTTAAAGGGCTGTCCTATAGAGGATGGGGCAGAGTTGTTTTCGGTTGCCCCAGAAGGCCGGACCAGAACTAGCGGGCTGAAATTAAATCAGAAGAGTTTTCAGCTAAACATTAGGAAGAACTTCCTGATAGTTAGGGCAATTCCTCAGTGGAAGAGGCTTCCTCGGGAGGTGGTGGGCTCTCCTCCTTGGGAGGTTTCCAAGCAGAGGCTAGGTGGCCATCTGACAGCAATGCTGATTCTGTGAACTTTGGCAGATCATGAGAAGGGAGGGCAGGAAGGGCTGCCTCAGTGCTTGGTTCCCGTGGCCCTTTCTTACACACCCAGGGAAATGTTGATCGCCACTTTGGGGTCAGGCAGCAATTTCTCTCCAGATTGGTTTGCCCAAGGATCCTGGAGGTTTCTGTCATCTTCTAGGCATGGAACAGGGGTCACTAGGTATGTGTGTGGGGGGAGGTATTTGTGGATTTCCTGCATTGTGCAGGGGGTTGGACAAGATGACCCTGGAGGTCCCTTCCAACTCCATGATTCTATGATTCTAAGCTTGAAAAAGGTTGCCCCCCCCCCCCGTTCTGCAGCAATAACTGAAATTATCTTTTATTCTCTCCTAAAGCAATCTCTGAATCACAATAGAACTGAGCCTTAGGAAACCATTAAAATGGCGGACAACCAGGAGGGTCTTGTATGAATGGTCAGTCTTACATACCGATTAAATGTCTGTAGGGCAGCTGATGGTCTCTCAGATTCAAATGAGCTATATGGCCGATTCTGCTGAATGCAGTGGTCACTTCCTGACCCTCCGGAAGCACAGCTTGTAGAACTTCTTCCACCTTGAAATTATCATAGGTGAGTTCCAGGTTGTACTTGAGTACCTCGGGGCTGACATCGAAGCTCTTTAAGACCTCTTGCTCTGCTTCACCCAGTGAATAGTCCGCAGGGATTTGACGAGGATCCAACAAAATTAACCTTTTGCCTTTGTCACCTGGATCCTCCACAACTCTCTTTAAGCCTGGTCGCTGGAGCAGGACACCTTTGATAGTCTTCGCCACTTTGTGAAGGATGTCTTTCTTAACACTGAGCGCTGGGACGACAACCTCCTTTGTGAAAGCCGCTCGGTCCAGGGTGGTCATTCCACGGACTCTGGGATGAGGCGTGTACAGGTCGAGGTCAGCTTGACTGTCCAGTATCTCCGGCATGGTGGAGAAATTATGCCTCTGAGCTGCTAAGAGACGTCCAGGCAGCTGATCAAAAGACTGCCCCCAAAGCGCCCGGACAGCTGGAAGTGATGTATTCGATGTGGTCGTTCCAAAAGGTTTTATTTTCGGGAGTCTTGCAAAGAAGCCATTTAATGGCCTGAAAATCCTAGAAGGGAAATCATTCATTTTACAGACATTAGGTAAGAATTCCATTAAAAGAGAGGAAATCCTACAAATATGCATGGCCTGTTCTCATAAAGCCACTTCCGTTCGCATCGGCTCTAGTGTGGTGCAGTTATTAAGAGTGTTGGGCTAGGACCAGAGGGACCCCAATTCGAATCCCCACACTGTCATGAAGTTCCCTGGGACGTGGCCTGCACAGCCTCACTCTCAGCCTAACCCACTTTACAGACTCGATATGGATAAAATGAAGGAAGAGAAAACCACGTGCGCTGCCACAGGCTCACTGGGGAAAGGGCGAGATTAAAATCGAACAGATTCTACAGAATTGCCCTATATCGGTCGAAGCATCTTGCTCTAGCAAACTAAAGAGATTTTGCACCAAGACTTTGGTCGTTTCCACCAGAAGGCAAGCTTGGGTTGGGCCCTGACTTGGACAGCCCAGGCTAGCCCGATCTCATCAGATCTCAGGAATTAAGCAGGGTGGGTCGGAGTTAGCATTTGGACAGGAGATGGCCAAGGAAGCCCAGGGTCACTGTGCAGAGGCAGGCCATGGCAAACCACCTCCAAACGACTGTTGCCTTGAAAACCCCACAGGGTCGTCGTAACCTGGCTCTGACTTAATGGTGCTTTACACACTTTAAGGCACCCTTAGACTTGTGCTTTATCTGAGACACAGAACGACTGCTGCAGTCCATGTACTTATACGAAAGGAAATCCCATTGAAACCGTAAGAACATAGGAGAAGCCAATGTTGGATCAGGCCAATGGCCCATCCAGTTCAACCCTCTGTCACACAGTGGCCAAAAATATCAGGTGCCATCAGGAGGTCCAGCAGTGGGGCCAGGACACCAGGAGCCCTCCTGCTGTTGCCCCCCCCCCAAAGCACCAATACAGAGCATCACTTGCCCCAGACTGAGAGTTCCTACCTATACCTTGTGGCTGATAGCCACTGATAAACCTCTCCTCCATATACTTATCCAGGGGTCATTTTGTAGAAATAGAGGCGCAGGAGCTCATTAGCATAACTCATTAGCTTAACTTATTTGTATATGCCACGCCACCTGACATCACCGGAAGTGTGTCAGAAGGCAACATCCACCGCTCAGGTTCCACTGGATTGTTAGCTATTGGGGGGGGGGACGTGCAGATCTGTCCTCGCAGAGGAGGGAGAGCTTGTACCTGAATAAAACTTGGTCTTAAAGGTGCCACTGGACTGTTTTGGGCGGGGGGGGGGGCCCTCTGCAACTTACCTGGCTGCTTCTTGCTCTGACTGAGGGCTGCTGGGAGCAGGGGGTGGGGCTTGTTGCATGTGACCGCCCCCTGGGCTCTTTACTGCCGGAGCTCCACTCCTGTGCGCTCCTGCAGGAAATGACCTCTGTACTTATCCAATTCCCTCTTGAAGCTGTCCATGCTTATAGCCGCCACCACCTCCTGTGGCAGTGAATTCCATGTGTTAATCACTCTTTGGGTGAAGAAGGACTTCCTTTTTTCTGTTCTAACCCGACTGTTCAGCAATTTCATGGAGTGCCCACGAGTTCTTGTATTGTGAGAAAGGGAGAAAAGTACTTCTTTCTCAACCTGCTCTATCCCATGCATAACCCCATGCATAACCAATGGGAGTTATTGCCAAATATATGTTGTTTGGATTGTACTGACCTTTGGGTACCTTCAAATTATGTTTTTAGACCCCACTCGCATTGTTTGGTGCGTCTTCATGACTATGCAATCACGTGTCAACAGTTAATGCTCCAGAATCAATTGATTGAGCACCTACGATTTCACTCCAGAATCCTGTTCTTTCTGTGATAGAGGCTTACCCTGGAAATGGGATGTAATAACTAGGCCTCGAAAGACACGTACAGAATGCCTTTTCCTTATCAACTGCACAACCCCCACCCCCCATCTAGATTTACCAAATGTTCACCTGGGCCAGAATTCCACACAAGGAAGCTGCTATCTTAACCCTGCATTAAAAGAGTGCCCCTGAGCATACATGGAGGCCCCCACCTGTCTGGCAAGATTTGAGGGCATTTGAAAACAGAATGTTCAAGCAGCCGTGAATCTCCGCATGTTTCTGTCTACAGAAAGGTTTTAATCAGAACAAACACAATGGCTCTGGATCCCAAGAAACATGATCTGCGATAAAGGGTTAGAATCCTGCATTTCAGTGAGAAAACCAAGCCTGAAGAACAGTGCCCCACTCTTTAGTCTGACCTGGTATTCAGAGCTATGTTGTGCCTGAACATGTAAGCTCCATAGCATGTATAATAGCTGTTGCTGACAGACCTCCAAAACAGGAATCAATGTACCTAATTCTCAATCATGGCTCCATCTGTGGATAAAAAAACCTGGAGATTGGAGCCATGAATACAGCCAAGACAGATCTTTCTACAAACCTGAGCAAAGCCCTGGGTTTACAGAAAAATCTGCAGCAAAGAAACAGAGTTAATGTCACCACAAATAATAAAAGCAGTGCCTATACCTTTAAGAAAGGAGATCTCAGTGGCCATTGTGGGAGTTGCTAGGCAACCACAACAATATTGTCATCCTTCAAACCTTGGTTTGAAGAGCCCTTTCCATGCAATTTGCATAACTCACCCAGGTGGAGTGGTGGCTATCACATGACTTATGCCACACAACTTCCACACAATTTGCATGACTTGGCCAGCAGTGACCACAACTCACCGGAACGACTTGCTACCGCACAAATTTTGAAACTTAGCTAGACTTTTCCCAGGGGGAGGGAAAGCTGAGAGCCAGAGCGATGTAGTTTTGGACTAGAAGAAGAAGAAGAAGAGAAGAGATTGGATTTATACCCCGCCCTTCACTTGGAGTCTCAGAGCGGCTTACAAACTCCTTTCCCTTCCCCTCCCCACAACAGACACCCTGTGAGGTAGGTGGGGCTGAGAGAACTCTGACACAAACTGCTCTTTTTCAAGGACAGCTGTGCCAGAGCTTGTGACTGACCCAAGGTCACATCAGCAGGTGCAAGTGGAGGAGTGGGGAATCAAACCCGGTTCTCCCAGATTAGAGTCCACACACTTAACCAGGAAACCCAGATTCAAATCCCTACTCTGCCATGGAAGCTTGCTAGGTGGCCCTGGGTCAGTCACACACTCTCAGCCTAATCTACCACACAGGGATGCTGTAAGGGTAAGACAGAGGAGAGGAGAATGATGGAAGATGCTTGGGTCCCCATCAACGTTCCCTCTAAGCTGTGGAGTCCTGTGAGCAACAATTCTACTTTGTGAGCTACTGGCATTAAAGCTGTGGGCGAGTGATTTGGCTGCTGCATAAATGAGTTGGCTCTGGAGCCCTTCTTCCCTAGCTGAGACAAAAATGTGTGAGCCGGAGGCTAAAAAACTGTGAGCTGGCTCACACTGACTCAGCTTAGAGGGAACACTGGTCCCCATTGGGGAAAAAAGTGGAGTACAAATTTATTAATTTATTTATCAAATGTATACCCTGCCCTCCGGGCGGAGTCCAGCTCAAATGAAGTAAACAAATAATAAAGCTGGTAGGGGTGTATGTAGACAGACAAATAGGATCCTGCCTTGGGGACCCTATTTGGGTGGAAAGGCAGCACAACCTGCTGGATGACCTTGCGCAAGCCATAGTTCTGTCAGAGCTGTTCTCTCAAGAACAGTTCTTGAGAGAGCTCTCTCAGCCCCACCTATCTCACAGGGTGTCTGTTGTGGGGAAGGGAAGGGAAAAAGAGATTGTAAGCTGCCCTGAGACTCCTTTGGGTATTGAAGGGCAGGATATAAATCCAATCTCCTCCTCCTCCTCCTCC